AAACTTGGGCAAAGAGTCCTAGTTCTGGTTTCATAGGGTAGCAGTTCCGGTTTGCTCTGTCTCTCATCAGGTCTTTGGCTCTCTGCTGTGGCTACTGTGGCTGCCACTCCCATAGGTCCTTGTTTGGCTGGTGTAAGAATCTCTGGCCGTGAAGGACATATTGCATTCTCTTGCTTCTTCTCTGCTGGTAGTGAAGTTCTCCAACTCTGCTGCTGGATCTGCTTAATTTAATGGGCAACAAATCCCATTGTGGATAGGCAAATATGCCCTATTCACATACTCTTGTCCAGCCACATGGCAAAATCAGTCAATGGCTAGGTGAGCCGTTCTGAACAATAAACCCTTAACATCACACATCCTTGAAATTAGGAAAAGAGTGAGTCAGAGTTACATCCTTTCACCGTATTTATTCAATCAGCATGCTGAGTAAATAATGCTAGAATCATTCATTGCCATCAAATTGGAACAGATACACAGTTGACTCTCCAGAAGGTTTTCCAGGACAAGTAGTGATTGCCCATCTTTGTCCTTCAGAGCCACTAGTGAATTTGAAATGGTTGAGAAGTGCCATCTTTGGGTTAGCAATCAAACTCCTTACGACTGCATCACCACAGAAACTGGAATATATGAAGAACAATATGGCATCAGAATAGCAGGAACAGTCCTTAATGATTCTTGATATGTAGTGGACACATGGTACACCTTTGCTTGTTGAAAGTGAACACTTTGAAGACCTTGCTAATGAAAAGCAAAGACTAAGCCTTCAGTATAGATTGTACTTCAATATACAATAAACAAAAATCCTCACAATTGGCCCAGTAAACAGCATCATAGTAAGCAGAAAAGATGGACATTATCAAGGATCTCATTTTGCTTTGATCTTTAAGCATTGCACGTGGAAGGAAAAGTAAAAAAAAAAAATTAAGACAGCAAACCAATAAAAATATGTTAAAAATTAATTAAAGGACTTACTGCACTGGGTAAATCTGACACAAAGGACCTCTTTAAAGTATTAGAAATTAAAGATGTCACTTTGAAAAATAAAGTGCAAGGACTCAAATCATGCTATTTTCAATCACCTCATATGCATATGGTATTCCTTACTTTCAGCCAGGATCCATCTGACATCAGTAATGATATCCCTGGTGCCATGGCCTCTTCTAAATCTTGCTTGAACTTCTGGCATTTCCTATTTTATGTACTTTTTTAA